AAAAAAGTTTGCTGAAAAAAACAACAACATTTATTTCTACTCTGCGTCTTTCTCAGACCAAAGATTCCGATAGCTGAGAGACAGGGCGTCTTTTTATCTAGACTTCTAGTCGGGATTGTTCAAGTTGGCATAGTCGTGTCGAGGATAGTTTCTCCAGGTAGATGTTGATAGGGAATGTCCCAAATGGTTCAAAGAACACTCTATTGGAACAAGGAGACTGCATTCCTTGATTCCCAAAGAACACTCGGTTCGATCGAAAGAACACTAGGTTCGATCGAAGAGATCGAAAGAACACCGGATTCGATCGACAGAACACTGTGTTCTAAAGCGGTAAATCAAAATGCATGGTGAAACAATATGCCAGATGAGAAGGAAGAATCGGACCGAACAGAAGACCACTCGTCCCTGCTCTCTCTCTGTTCTCTGTACGGCAATATTGGTGATTTTAGGGCCTCTACTCTAGTCGGGTATCTAGACTAGGTACGTAGGCAGGTTCTGGCGTATTTGAACAGACAGAATCGGACCAGACAGAAAAGCTGAAACAGTAGACCACCGCCCTGCTGCCTGTGCGCTGCCCTGACCCTGACCCTCCGTCACGCCCCGACTCGTAATCACCCGGCCACAAGTCAACTCCGATCTCACCGGCTAATCACTTACAAATACCTGCCGTCAGACCTGGATACAGCAGGGACCTGACATGTGGTAGTGCTGCGTTACCGGTACCTGGTACTGTATAGTAGCCTGGATGCCAGACCCAAAGCACACTGGACACAAAATATCTCAGTTGCACACTGAGATATTTTGTGTCCAGTGTGCTTTGGGCCTGGCATCCAGGCTACTGTATAGCACCGCGGAAATCAGTTAGGTACAGGTCCAGATTTAATCCAAGAACTTTCGTAGAGTGGAACTCGTTGTCACCAAGCACAGTTGGGGGACTTGGGGCATCATCACTAGAAAGCTTCAAACAACTCCTGCAGTCTTAAATGTGCAAAGATTGAGTGTAACAAGTCGTGTGACTTTATAGGTAGCTGCCGCCGCGCCGCGTGCCTGCGAAGCGCGTGTGTTACGCCGAAGGGCGGTTATACCGGCTATACCGACTATACAGATACAGAAACTACCTGAGCATCGATGTACCTGTACTGTACCTGAAGACTAATATTGTAGTTTTTGGACGTATTTTGTAACTAACAACGTGTGTTATTCCTGCAAAAATTATGATAATGTAACACTGGAAAAAGATGAAAACAGTACGATCTTTCATTCGAGATCCTCTTAAAGGTGTCTGAAGTCGAAATAAACCTTCAGTCATATTTCTGTCATTGTTGAAGACCGCAGAGTGTACATGCACAGGTCCGAACCTGTATTTCTCCTTATCTGCTGTTATACAGTACTATATCAGATATGTATCCTGCACAGTCGGCAGAAATGGAGCATGAAATTCAAGTTGTTGTCGGCGGCCGCTGGGAGGGTTCAGCGCCCCGGCGGGACTCGAACTCGCGACCTCTCGGTGTTGTGGTCTAGACTCAGGGTTACCTGAGATGGAAGAGAGGCCACGAGGCATGGAAATTGATAAGGAAGGAGCGCGGATGCAAACTCATGACATTCTTGGTCCAGAAGAGAACAAGTGGGGAACAGAGGCCACAGGGCAGGGGAAACGGTATTTTGATGTGTCAAGTTGGCAGGTGTGGGTTGGTGGGAGCACTTGGACAGTAACCTGTCGTGGGTAGCTTGGCACATCCTTTTTGTATTTCCCTTCCTTTGTCTATGTCTCAGTCACGTCGAAAAGTTAAAAAAAAGGAGATAGTTAAAAAAAACCTCCTGTCTCTCTTGTCTAGTTTTCACTCCTTTTTGATTTTGTTATACCCCAATTAAAAACGGGCCACAGGGCATGGAAATTGATAAGGAGCGCGGATGCAATAGGGTTGGGACTCGAACTCGCGACCCTTCTGTGTCGTGTTTCCGAAGTGGGATATGACGAAGACCATAGGCATGGAAATTGATAAGGAGTACGGATGCAAACTCATTACATTCTTGGTCGAGAAGAGAAATTACATCGAGTGGGGAATAGAGGCCACAGGGCAAGGGAAGTGGTCAGGGCGGCCTGAAACCGGGTTGGGATTCGAACTCGCGACCCCTCTGTGTCGTGTTGCCGAAGAGGGATATGATGAGGGCCATAGGCAGGAAAGTGATCAGGGGTTGGACGGGGGTGTGGACTCGAACCCGCGACCCTTGGGTCCGGAAACGAGATTACTAAGCCAAAGGCCATCTTTGAAACGAGAAAGGTGGTCGGTGGTTTGGTTACGACTACGTTGCACTTTTCCACAATCCTCAATTGCTGCTTTATCAGTCCATGGAGTTTCAATTCTAAGTATTAATTTGATATTGAATTATTCCCCCCCCCCCCTGTGTACGATTGTAGCAAAGGGCGTGTTCCATTTGGGGTCAAGGTCAGATAACCAGATCAAAGCTACCGACATGTAGTCCACAGACGCAATACTTTCAAGAATCAGGTGGTACCAGCATCTCTCTTGGCCTATTGAAGAATAGCAAGAAGGTTATCCTAAATACAGATGAAGGAGACAAGACATGGCGTCTTAGACACATGGAGACAATTTTAGACATGATTAAGAGACTTTACCGTCTCGCCAAAACACCCCAAGACACAAGAACATGACCGTCTTGAACAACAGACTCTACAAAGTACATGCCTATAATTAGTTCAAGGCAGACCCAAGACGCTCGTTTTGTCTTGTCTCGGATGGGAAGACAAAGGCAGCTCCTTGTAATTAAGAAATGACAGGAGACGTTACTTCTATAGTAGTATATAGCTAGTAAGTGTATCAATTGGAACAAGACTTAAGCTGACGAGAGTGTTGTGTTCCTCCAACGTCTGCTTGGAGATTAGAATTATTAGATCCAGATCATACACAGATAATATCTGATAACTTATACGTGTGATAGGGAGAATTTGTAGATTGGACATGATACTGATAGGCTGTGCCACAGTATCAGTTCCACCGCTAACTAGATCAAATTATGTATCTGTACAATACAGTAGTGTCTGGTACAATATCCATACTGGTACACTTGGATACGTATATGGTGTGTGTGGCATGTGATTTAGATGAAAATTCTGTGATTAGGTGCTCTGGACTACAATTTTCATCTGCTTCGTCTGTGGTCCTTTTTAAGTCGTATCGAGTTCTAAACAACCTACTAGTAGGGCGACCTGTAAGTCTGGTACCACATATTACAGACATACTGGGAAATTTGGATGGTGTACAATGAATGTGAAGGTGTATGGAAAGGAAAATTCTGTGATAAAATTGCTCTAGACTACAATTCCATCTGCTTCGTCTGTGACCCCTTGTCGTATCGGGTTCTGAACAACCTACTAGTAGGACGATATATGTAAGTCTGGTACAACATAGTACATGCATACTGGGAAACTTGGATGTTGACGGAAAGGAAAATCCTGTGTGATAAGATGCTCTAGACAATAATTCCCATCTGCTGCGTCTGTGCCTATGTTGAAGAGTGTGGTCCCTTTTAAGTCGTATCAAGTTCTGAACAACGATAAGTAAGTCTGGTATTACACATAGTAACGTTACATACATACTGGGACATTTGGATGGTGTATGTGAAGGTGTATGGAAAGGAAAATTCTGTGATAAGATGCTCTAGACAATAATTTCCATCTGCTGTGTCTGTGCCTATGTTGACGAGTGTGGTCCCTTTTAAGCCGTATCGGGTTCTGAGCCTGTCGACTTTCATACATACATACCGGGACACGCGGATACACGGATATGCGGTGAGTGACATGCCACTGAAGGAAAGTGTTGTTACAAGGTGCTCCGGAATATCACGTACTCGTGCATCTGCCAATCAAGTCGCCGCTTTCAAGTTGTATTGAGTTCTAGGTATGTCCTACTTTTAGACTAGTAAATCTGGTACAGTAATCAGCTTTTGGGACTCTTGAATCAGGTGTACTTAAAGTGTGATACAAGGGGAATGTTGTGATAATATTATTTCCATGTGCCACTTCTGTGGTCCTTAGTGCCCCAGTTTGTACACTGTACCACCAGACCTGGTTTTCAGAGTTCTACAGAATCTGATAGCACTCGTGTGTCTTATGAGTCCCAGATATACGCGATAGATATCATATGATGTGATATGTGATGTTGCAGAATTGCTGTTATAAGTTTGATACGTTGCCTCGGAATCATCAGCGTCAAAGTCATTGTCATCATCATGATCATTTCAAACATCATCCTCATCATCTGAACATCGGCATCACTAAGACCATCATCATCTCCACCAGGACTACAATCATCATCATCTCGATCAGTTCAATCACCAGCATCACCATCCTCATCATCCATCACCAAAACCATCATCATCATCATCCCAGTAATGATGATGATGGTGTTGGTGTCATCATCATCATCATCATCACTGGGATGATGGGATCATCATCATCACTGGGACATACCTAGAACTCAATACGACTTGAAAGCGGCCACATGAGTGGCAGACGCACTAGTACATGATATTCCAGAGCACCTTGTAACAACACTTTCCTTCAGTGCTGAGTCACTCACCTGTATCCGTGTATCCAATTGCAAGTGTCCCGGTATGTATGTATGTAAGTGGACAGACTCAGAACACGATACGACTTAATAGGGACCACACTCGTCAACATATGATGATGATGACACCATCATCATCATCACTGGGATGATGATGATGATGATGGTGTTGGTGATGGATGATGAGGATGGTGATGCTGGTGATTGAAATGATCGAGATGAAGATGATTGTAGTCCTGGTGGAGATGATGATGGTCTTAGTGATGACGATGTTCAGATGATGAGGATGATGTTTGAAATGATCATGATGATGAGGATGACTTCGACGCTGATGATTCCCAGTTTTTTTGGCATGCTATGGAGGCCAACTACACACTACCAAGGGTCTGATTCTGTTGTCCTTTTCCGCAGGGAGACTGAGAGAGCGTACGGGGGAGGTCCGTCTTCGCGGCGGCGGGGAGGGCGTGACGCACCGGGGGCGGGTGGAGGTGCACCACGAGGGGACCTGGGGGACCGTCTGCGACGACAACTGGGGGAAGCCGGACGCCGACGTCGTCTGCAGACAGCTCGGGTTCTCACGGTGAGTCTCGCGCACATTGATTGTAGTAGTAGCCTGGGTGCCAGACCGTTGCCAGGGCCAAATACAGAGGAGCTCGTTGGCTAGCCAGTGTGCCAGGCTGGTGCCAGGGCTAATAAACAGGCTAGATCCTCGGCTCCATGATCCATGGCTAGCCTGGGTGTCAGACTGTTGCCAGGGCCAAATACAGGCTAGCACATAGGCTCCAGGGCCAACCTGTCCCCAAGGAAATTTTGCCATAGACCTCCTCCCCCTCGTTAGGCCCTGAACTCAGTCTAACTGTTAGGCCCTGGGTCTAACTGATCGATGAGGAATTGGCCTGTGTCCTGCCTACTGCCTAAGTGCCACATGCCTGCACAGGCCAGGCTCTGGCCCCTTGCTCCCCTTCTCCAGGTTTCTCCAGCCAGCTCTAGCCAAGGCCATGTGTACAGGGGACAAAATGTGCTCCAAAATTTTTGTACCATTGCTCTGGTCCATCGTGTAGTCTCACGTTTCTGGCGTTAGTCGTTCTGAAATTCAGAAAACACAGGATTGGAAAAAAAAGCAAAGCCATGTCTTGTATATCTACATCCACTTGTCTGTACATCCAGTGTTAGTCTGACTGCCTGTTAAGGCGGAGGGTTGTAGCTGTGTTGTTGTGGGGACGTCCTTGTCCCTAGTAATTATAGGGATAGCTGTCAGCACATTTAGAATAGGCTAAATCAACGGTGAGTGGTTGATAATAATACTAAGCCGCCAGACGGAAATACCTGTCTATTAGTCTAGTAACTCTCACTGTACAGGGCTCTATGGGCCTGTCTAGTAGGAGGTCTGCTAAAAAAACGTGAATTAGTGATCAGACTAGCTGTTAGTCGAGTTTGCTATATATTTATGGCGATTCCTTGCCAACAGTATGCATCAAAACTGTTCCCTGTCATTGACTTGGAGGGTTTAAAGGCTCTGGCTCAAGCATCAATTTTCTATGGTGTCGCCTTGGAATTAGATGGAAGAAAGTGGAGACATCTTTCCATAGTCCTGACTTCGTCACCTGAAAGTTCCCCTAGTGATTTTTGATGCGAGAACTGTTCTCAGTGCTAATTAATGGTTTCGGTGGTATTGATTGGTAGAAAATTATATGTTCGATGCACTCAATTTTGCAGTCCAAAAGTTCAAGGACTTTTACGTTGACACTTTGGAATTTTGAGCCTTTTGTGATTTTTGAGCCTTTTGTGATATGACACATTCTACACGGTTTTGGTATGAAAATTGACCCCGTGTTCAGGACAAACTCTACTCGAGGACATGGATAGCCTCCATGTACCAATTAATTCCGCTCAATTTGAAGAGTATTAGAGAAAACTACTGTCCATATAGTAAGAGATAAATCACTCTAGTGGCTTGTCAACTATTTATGTTATCAACTGACAAAGCAAGAATACTGTGAAACTTTTCTCTCAAAACTTGTCAAGTCTCTTTAAGTTTCTTTACGTTTTTTTAAAAGATTAAGTGGTGATCTTTATCTGGTGACAGCAACATGTGAAACTTTTCGTGAGAAAACTGTCCTCGCAAGCGAGGCCATACCCAACTAGATGACATTGATGTGTATGAATTTAACTCACTAAATTAGCCCAGTATTGTGTCTGTTGTAGATCGTCCTTGATCATTCACACGACACGAATGCAGTGTGAGATTTAGCTAGACAAGCAGGCTCAGACAAGGGCCCATGCCAGTTAGCCTGGGTGTCATCCGATTTGTAACGACATCCCCGAAAATCTTTTGGCGTTACAAAATGAGATGGCACTCATCCTTGTCTAGGGTTGGCACTGTCACATCTTGCCTGAAATTATATAACATGACCTTCAATGTCACTTCTCAAAAGACCTCCAAACCTTGCTAGTCTTGCAGCCTAAAAAATACCAGAAGGTCTTTCGAAATCAGGACTGTGTAAAATTCTGGACCTGACAACAGTCTGGCATCCAAACTAGACCACTCCCAATCCAGCGCCGACCTTGTTCGAGGTGTGGTCCCGTAATCTCCAAGCAGATCACACGGTGGCAAGGCAGTATCCATTGACCGAAGGGTAGCCAATTGATACTCTCTGGCTAATGGATACTGCCTGACCTGTACTGTCTTTTGCGACCACCGAAAGATCTGCTAGGAGTTTAGTGGTCCGGAGCGAAGTCGTGGGAAGGTCCTGCATGTGTGACGAAAGTTTTACCTACATCAGACAGTACAAAGAGCAGGGCCTGCCCTGGTCACGGGTCACGCAGTGTAACGCTATTAGTCGCAAACGTCAACTTCATTTAGAGGGCAAGTACAGGAACAACAACACCAGGGTTCGCTGAGCGGTAGAGAGCAGACCCTAGCTTGGATGCCAAACTGTTTAACGTCAGAGCCAGTGCATTTTTGTTGCCGAATTCTCTACTATCCTAACCCCTTAGGAAGGCCTGTTGGAGGCTAGTACATGACAACACTACCAAGCTGAGTGTTACCTTCTCGAGTTTTATTTTCAGAGTCTGTAGTCAGTTGTCGCAGACGTCTTTCAAAGACTAGTAGGCACTGATGGCCAGCAAGACACTTTTTTGCCGAGTTCTACTATCCTAACAAGAAAGCCTGGTGGAGGCTAGAACACCTCAACACTACCAAGGTTAGCAGTCAGTCCATGGATCGGTGCCAACACCAGACACCGCACAAGGCGCCCGGGGCAGCGCCTACCTACCTGTTAGGCGTCGCCATTATCCGCGTCAAGTCGGTTGTGAAATACGAAAGGGTTCTCGTGAGAGATCCTGTGATTGTGACGAGGTTTGAACAATGGGAGCGTTCCTGTCTGTCCTCGAGGTGGGGTCGGGGGTACGGGAGGTCACACGTGCAGTTCCAACTGAAAAAAAAATATCGAAGGGCATTCTAAGTGCATTCTAGCTGTAGTATTATTGCATTCCAACAGCTAGCATTCGAAACATTCCGATCGCATTCTGCAGTTGAGTTATTCCCGACTGTCCTCGGGATTGGGTCGGGGTTACGGGAGTTTGCACGTGCAATGTTTAGACCTTAGAACAAGTAGTTTAAGTTGACTCATCTATTGTCTTATTGTTCGTAGGTCAATTTTGTCGTACCCACGTATCTATCTGTGTGTATGTCTGCATGACCTTACGGAAGTCGCTGTACATTTGTTGTGTCAAATAAAGTTCACCGTGATAAGTTCGTGCACTGTCCAGGTGAATTTCAACTGAAGAAATATCGAAGGGCATTTTAAGTGTATTCAAGCTGTAGTATTACTGCATTCTGCACATTCTTATAGCATTCCAACAGAGTTCTAAACATCCCGATCGCATTAAAGGGGAACGAAAATGGCCTTGAGTATTAGTATTTGGAATACACCCCGTATTTTGAAGTATGCACTTCGAATAGCTAGTTGTATAGATGAAATTATATTCGGGCGGCATTTCGGCGGCTCACTCTGCCTCTTAGTCTAGTGTGAAGGAGATCGATATAACTAGGGTTCAGGAATATGGTGCGTTTTTTGCCAATTCTTTATCCCGTTTGACTCTTCTAGACTCCTACTGATTTGGAATAAGCCTGAAAGGGCTAAACTTTAAAGTTCTTTTTTTTTGTTATGCTGACTCAAAGTCCTTACCAAGGGATGAGCTGGTTAGACAAACAGGACAGACATTTATCATCCCAACATCTGCTTGGATATTGCTGTTTGCTGACAAGGCCCGAAGGCCCTATCTTGTTCTCCTCCATGTATTACAAATGGAGACAGAAATGCTCCCGTAGCAAATGCCACAAGGTCGTCACGTTGTAGCGAAAAATGTAGCAACCCTTCGGCAAGGGCGTGTTTTAATCAGTCCGTACGGTGGGATGAAGAGAACCACATTTCTTTACAACTCACTATCGTAATTCGTATCTAGAGCCGTGCCTATCTATCTAGTTTTTTTTTATATTCCAACATCTAATCACAAGACGTGGTGACGGCACACTCAAGTTTTTTCAACTTATATTAATGCCGCCGCCAATACAATAGTCATTTTCACCTGAGTCACAATACAATACCCATTTTCACCAATCTTGTGCCCTTTCCAAGGGCGCAAGATCGGTGGCATGTCAGGACTCGAACCCGGAACCCGTTGCGCCACACGACCCCATCTATCTAGTTCTATGTCTGAATGAGGGTAGGATGAAAAATCGCGACATGTTCTGTCTCTTCTGTTTTAGATACTTTGATAATTAGAGCTGGGAGCAGGACCCATTCTTTGCCACTGTCATAGGGGTGAATAATATTGACAACATCCTTACGCAAGTCATAATGGTAACCAGCTGGATTTGGCTAGGAACAACATATTTTGTAGGACTCAGTCTTGTTTACTGACGTGTGAGTGAGTGAGTGAGTGAGTGAGTGAGTGAGTGAGTGAGTGAGTGAGTGAGTGTGTACGTGTGTGTGTGTGTGTGTGTGTGATGTGTGTGTGTGTGTGAGTTTGTGTGTGTGTCTGTGTGTGTGTGTGTTACGTGTGTGTGTATGTGTTTGTGTCTGTCTGTGTGTTTGTGTATGTTTCTATGTGTATGTGTGTTAGGATGGGGTGTTATCAGTCTGTTGGCTTTTGATTGCCCTCCTCTGTATTTTATGGATCTCTAAGTCTAACATTTTTGACAGCCCCATCTATAAAGGCTAGTGTCAGTCACTAGTGTCTATTTATGTTTTGGAAAAGGATACATGTATTTGTTGAAAACAAACTTGATAGACACCCGCTGACTCTCACAAGTTCTCCATAAAGCAGAGCCTCGTTAAAAGTGTTTTGAGAAAAGAGTTTGCGTCGCGGAAGTAACAAATTACAGACTTACACAACTCGAACCGATTTCCAGCTGCGCGGACAATACCTGACCTTTAGCGTTCGGTCGTAAACAAAATATTTTGGACGACTTTCTCCGCGCAAATTTCTTACAAATGTCAAGTATTCTAAGACTTGTTTCTTGGAAGACTGTTTGAGAAGATAAAAATCCCTCCCAGCTGTTCTACTGTTGTGGTG